ACCATCCCAGTGTTTGAAATATCACCTTCTCTCATCAATCAGTAAGTAGATGTACATTGTGAGTCTGCTATGTGCCTATGTATTCTCGGAACTAACTTTGTTACTTGGAAAAAGTAAATTTTTCTCTTTTAATTTTTTCAAAATTTTTGCTACTAGTCATAAAATAGACCTGGTCACAGTCTAGTTATTGTCTTACCACAGTGGCTGAAATGCTACAAAATAGAGATTTATTTAAATTAAAAGCAAATAACTTTGTGAGAGCCAATCATTTATACTCTAATGTTAATTATTACAATTATAATTTTACATTTTTATAACTGGATGAACTGGAAACACTAAAAGGAGTAAAAAATAAGGAAAGGGGAATCGATTTTGTATTTTCAACAGCAAGAAGACAGTGCCAGTTGGACTACAAAGTAGGATTTGGGCCTACAATTCACTCACTGATTGCTTGATTCATTCATATATTCAGTCAAATATACTTCCTCAGTATTTGTAATGTGCCACGTCTCTTCTAAAGGCTGGAGATAGAAAGACAAGTTGCAGCCGGAAACAAGATGACAATATTTAATAACTGTGTTCCAGGGAAGGCAGATGATCATAAGATGAGAAGAGCAGAAAGCTGAGCAAAAGGGAACCCAAGTTAAATATTGACTACTCAGATATTTGGCCTCGGGCCAACCCTGCTTTCTTTCATGATGACACTTTAGTCAGAGTAAACAAAAGCAAGTGTGTAATTTAGAATAAGAACAAGCAAACAGAATCATATCTTTCAACCTTTTACCAACAACTATTATTTCTGTATGTACTTCTATAGTTTCAATAAAACAATCTGATTGCAATAACAGTTTATTTGGCAATATCTGTGACCGAAAACATGCCTTAATGTTTCTTTAGTATAGCTATAGGTTTATGGCTCGCCACATTGTAAATGATATGGAAGGTTCCCCTTACTCAAGTAAATAACGATATAAAATATCAATAAACACAGAAAATGATGAAGGTATTGATTTTAATTAAATGAATGCCTCAATGATTTTTCCTCAGTCTCATTCTTTTCATATTTATTTAAGCCTACCATGGCTTCTTTTTTAACAGTGTGAAACAATTTTGCAATAGAAGACACCATAGTTTTTACGTAGCTGTAACACGGAAAGAAACCTACTTTAAGACAACCTTTTTTTTTTTTTTTTTTTTTTTTTTTTTTTTTTTTTAGATTTTATTTTTTCCTTCTTCTCCCCAAAGCCCCCCAGTACATAGTTGTATATTTCTCGTTGTGGGTTCTTCTAGTTGTGGTATGTGGGACGCTGCCTCAGCGTGGCTTGATGAGCAGTGCCATGTCCGCGCCCAGGATTCGAACCAACGAAACACTGGGCCGCCTGCAGCGGAGCGCGCGAACTTAACCACTCGGCCACGGGGCCAGCCCCCAAGACAACCTTTTTAAAGGTATATTCTTCTCACCTGGTTTTCCCTGTTCTGTTATATCTAATTATTTATTGCTATATTCAGAAAACAGAGGGTATCTTGAATTCAGGGAAATAGGAAGCAACAGAAAGATTTCTTGAGATCACTGTAATACAGCAGTTTGCTATGCATTAACTTAGGCATAATCATGCCCAGTAAAGAGTAAAGAATGCACATTTAGTTCCTAACATTAATATCTAGATCTTGTTCATGAAGAGACTGATGAGAACCTTAGGCACTATGTAAATATGTAACGTAAGAAATACTTCAATAAAAATATTACTTATTAATGGGTTATTATATGTTATGGGTTGAATTGTGTCTCCCTCAAATTCACATGTTGAAATCCCAACCTCCAGTACTTCAAAATGTGACCTTATTTGGAGATAGGATCTTTACAGAGGTAATCAAGTTAAAATGAGGTCATTAGGATTGGTACTAATCCAATATGACTGGTGTCCTTTTAAAAAGGAGAAGTTTGGAGACAGACAGGCACACAGGGAGAACGTCACATGAAGATGAAGGCAGAGATCCGGGTGATGCTTTTACAAGTCAAAGAATGTGAAGGATTTCCAGCAAAATACCGGAAGCTAGCTGAGAGGCATGGAACAGATCCTCC